CCTGAGTACCAATTTCAACTATATATCCTTGTTCCGTATATTTCATATTTCCATTACCATGGTTACTTACCATGTATATAAGCCGCTGGTACTGGACGAATATACTTGTCTGTTCTTGTTTTCACAAAAGAGATGGTGTTAATAGCAAAAATATTTCGCATTTTTCATGATTTGATCTACAATCGTGATGCGATTAATTTTTTTCTTCAGTCGATGATAAACCAAAAATGGAGACAAGTGCAGTATACGTAAGTATGTTGGTGCTGTCGTACTTTGAATATCTAATAGCGAGCGAAGTGGTGGCTAGAATTGCAGATAGAATCTGACATCAGATCGATGAAGTGTGCTCGAAAGTCACTGAGGGGTCTGAATGAGGCTTGTTAAAATAACGGTGCTTTTATAGTACACACAGTCAAGTCGTCGAGCAAGGGAAGCAATTGCACGGAATGATGCTCGTGCGTACTCGAATAAACTTCCGACTAAAACAACGCCGGGAGGCTAGCTTGGCTTTTGCATATCAACATACATCACGGTTCAATGCGAAATTTCCCCGAAGATTGATTCTCTCCTAGCAAGTTCACCCGACCCGGCGGCCCACTGAGGCATCCGCTAGGTTAAGTCAGCCTTTATCAGCCTTCAGCACCTATGCTGGTATTTTTCTCGCCGACTCAGAGTGCATTTTGTATGGCTCAATGAGATAAATGCAATTTATGTGGGTTCAGTAGAGCATATTGGCAGCTGCTCCAACTTTTTTGTTCGTCTTGGTGCGTGACTGATGTGATAGTGGGGCCTTACACAGACTCCACGGCGCGCTCCAAACCCTCTGAACGTCTCTCTCCATGAATAATAACTATGCTTTCCCACCCTACGGGCAGCCAGGAGAGTGGAGACAGCGAGAATGAAGGCTCGAAAGCGGGATCAATTCACCGAGAACACGGCGGGTTTACTTCAGCAGGCACATGAGAACATCGGGAGGGTCGCTGTTGAGTTCGAGAAAATCGCCGTATGAATGCATGTACATTGTAGCGTGTGTGTGAGCAGGCCGACGTATTTGTGTTGACTCTGTCACGCTCTGTCCTGATCGAGAAGCAACATTTTTATTTTGTGGAGCATCAAATTTTGGTTTGATGCCTCGAAAGAACGGCTGCAAAAATCAACCCACGCACCGCCATATAAATGCTATTACACGCCACAGATCGATCAAACTCAAGTTGAACCATTGAACAATTATGGCACGTGACTATGAAGGTTGAAACGGACGATTGTCGAAGCTAGCGAGTCATGCTACGCGTGAGGAACGTTCAATTGTCAAGTGTGCATTTTTGTGAGAATGATAGTTTTCTTCAGCTTTAATGATAGTTTCCTTCAGCTTTACAGTAATACAGTGTGAAATTTTTGACAGTTGAGAGATTCTAGCTGCCAAGAATCGGACCCCAGGTGGCGCGGAATTTCTGGAAATCAAGAAACATGCGGCTTAACAGGTACATCATATCCAGGGTCTCGCAATCGGAACATCAGGAAGGAGATAAAGGAACAGACAACTGGAACGAAGATGCAGGGTCAACCTCATGTTCAGTGTCGAGACCGCACGTTGCTTTGGCTTTGCACTATTAAGCAGACAATGATATCGATCTTTGAACCCCCTACAGGAGTATATACTGCATAATCAAAAAAAATGCGTATGTAAAATGTAACACGTCTAAGTAGCGAAAGAAACAAAGAAAACTGAATCACAATGGTAGAAAGCCAAGGAACCGATTCGGTACCAGCCGGTATGTTACTGAAAGTTAACGCCCCGAATGAATGGGTCCGCTTGGCATCACTTCATGAATGGGCGCAGTCAACAGCCTACAGGTAGTTAAAGGACTCCGGGCGAATTCTCGGTGCTTCCCCCTTCATCTCGAGTCGGTACTACCCTAGTTCAATGAGTACGACTCCCATCTTTCCGCCTGAGCTCGAGCGAAAGCTTTTTGAGCTTACGGCGGTCTTGCATCCTGAAATGGTTCCGGTGTTGCTCTTGGTCGCTCACCGTGTCCTTCTGTGGCAAGTTCCGCCTCCCAGAGCTAGCATACTTATATCATGCTCGCAGGATCGAGCACATACCATTTGTCACCATCCACATTGAGCCGCAGACTCCTAAAACCAGAAAAGAGAGGGAGCTGTTGCGTGCCATACGCCTCAAGCCCCCCAGTTTTTTCTCTTCCGCCGTTCGCAATCTTTCTCTTGCCATATTCAAGACGGGTCCTCGTTTAGAGGAGGACACTCATGTGGGATCCATGCCGTCTCGTCTCCTGCCTCCCGGCGACTCGACACACTGGACCCGCGTAGAGCTCAACCGGGTCCTGCACGCCTGCACTAGAATCGTGAACCTGTCGCTCACCGGCTCCGGGATCGCCCAGCTCTTCGACGCGCCTATGCTTGACCTGGTGTCACACCTCCGCCCCGTGCGCCTCGAGCTCCACATCTTCTCTGCGACCCGCCCCACTTTCAACTTTACGCTCCCCTTTTGGCAGTGCCTCACGCACCTGCAGCTCTACATCGCGAACCTCAGCGAGACCCCCCTCAACTCGGCCGCGCTCGCCCTGCAGAATATTCCCGGTCTCACGCACGTCGCGCTCTTCCGCAGCACGCCCGCGGCCGTGTCAAGCGCCGTGCTGCTCAGTTGTCGCAATCTGCAGATACTGGTGCTGATACAGGATGTATTCGGACTCGAAGGCAACGCAACCGAGCAGACTGGGCCACCGCCTGTCGACGATCCTCGCATCGTGTTGGACGTGCTGCACAATCCGGCCACAGACTGGAATCTCGAGCGGGAGACTGTTTCTGGAGCCGCCCTTTGGAAGCGTGCGGAGGCTTTGATTGCGAAAAGGAGAAACGGGGATCTCCCAGGTAGGACGAAATCCAACTTGAAGCTTGCACTGACGATAATGCTTCTTTGTAGCGGACTTTTATTATGTTTGACGATGGGGTCGAAGACGAAACGCTTTGGCCGTGTATTTATTGTGAATTTTGAGGTCCGGAGTTTCCTGATTGATGAGATATTTACGAATTTGTTATGTAATTAAGAACTGAATATTATTTATTCCAGTTATTTATAAGTTACAACTATAGGAAATCTCACAGTTAGGTCTGTCCGCATAAGCTTGTCTGAAGCTTTTTCCGCCACAAGCCTCGCCTTCAGGATCCGATGATCCGCCTTAAGCCGGAACCCCGATATTGTTGTTTCCACGGTCGCAGTAATAAGGATTGATTTCGCATATATCTCACATATCTCATCATTTCAGGCCAGAAGCTCTCGGTCGCGAGAAGTTCAATAATGCATAGAGTACATTCCTGACGCAAATGACAATCAAATCACGCTGTCGCAAAAATTTCTCCGAACTTCCCGAGTTCTGTCTGCCTAATTTGATTTGTATAGTTCTCCAACGAGGGATTAATTCGGATTTTCAACCTCAGAACTTTGCGCTTCAAGTTTAATAACCGTACTGCCGGTGCCACTATATGCCACCGTACGACTCGGACGTCGTTTGTAAAATAATATAAAGCAGCTACGTGGCTTATTAGTGCCACCGGCAAAAGCAACTGACTCTATATAATTTGGCCCTGGTGCGATTTTAATTTTCGGCAAAAAGTCCCGTGATGGGACCAAATAACGACACTGCCACTGCTTGGACACTTCGATCTCCCGGCAAGGCGAAACCGGTGTCAATGAATCGTGTTCAACACGAGCCATGTCAGTAGACTTCGACCCCGCTTCAACTTTCATCATATCTGCAGTGTGGCTGCGGATCCGGAAGGAATCGCCCCCTGAAACTTGGCAGATCTGAGACTCGACACTATGACAAGTTCCTCAGCCACTGGAATCACCCTTCGGCACGAACCGAATGAAAAACACGCCTGTTTACACTCTCACTCTCAGACGTAATCGATCATCGATAACATCCAAATTGGAAAATTTCCTTACAGAGTGGTTTGCGTAACTGGCACTTCTCCGACTCTCATGATCAGCCTGGAGTTGAGATCGGGGTCGTCCCAGGAGGTTGGCAACTAACGACATCTACGGCTCCCGTGTACGTTGCGTCGACCTGCATGGCGTTTTCTTTCCAGAATCCTGACTCAGACAAGCCAGCAAGGTGCCTGCGACGCACTCAAAGTGCACCAACGAGGTATGCCTTTCATTGCAGCTCATTAAATTGATCATGATCGTGATGAAATAGTCAAATACCCCGCATTCTGCCCTGTCGCTCCCGCACTTTGTCATCTGAGAAGCACGGGGTGATCCGTTTCGATAGCCTCGGCGGGCACGTCAATGTTATTCATATAACATTTGTTTCCCCACAGGCATTAACCTCGCACTCTGTCGAGAGCCGGACATCGCTCCGGTGACACGATGCGCGGGATTCGAAAGCTTTTGGCTTCGATCCACCTGTTCCAGTTGCCACGCTACAAGGTTCCCAGTCGCCCGCTCATTGCTGTATACACGTTCGTCATGCCAGGGGCGGGCGCTGACTATCCGAGATTCTGGCGTACATGCGCGGATAATTAAGTATCCCGACCGCCGTTCCACAGGGTGGGTTTTGTACACACAGGGCACCCCGTGAGCAAGGCCAGGACTTTTGGCGGGAGACGAAGCACTGTTAACGTTCTGGACCGGTCCATTCGGTCCGACGCCACTGACACCACTCCACGCTGTTTCCTGCCGCAATCGCGCGATACGTCAGGGCGTAGGGTTGCAATCGTGATAAGCATTCAAGTTAGACCGGTGCAACAAATCTCAGTGCGAAACCTTAGTTGGACGTTGGCTGCATTAAAGAAGTTACTACTAGGGTAACGAGTTTCAAAAATTTGTCAGACAAATGTCAGCTAATGCGCTGCGACGCCTATCGTAGTTAAGTATCAGTATAAAATGTAACAAAAAATGCGGCATATGAAATCCAAGTTCCGCATCCGGTGCAGCTTGACCGCTCGACTTGGATGCATCATTTGTACGTGATTGCTAAGGGTACTTAGCGCAGTTGGTAGCGCGTTCGCTTCGCATTGTCTTACGTAATTGCGAAAGGTCACCGGTTCGATTCCGGTAGTATCCATTTTTTCCATTTTGAAAAAGGACTCCAGAAAGGATAAGAGATCTTCAGATTTTTTCTTTGAATAGCCTTCTACTGCCTATACAGGTCCCAGTGTTGCCTACTCATGGTACACTATAGTCTCTTATAAACAGACCCAACACCTTTCGTTTGGAGAGTCAACTTGCCATAAATTGCTATTGTAACGATAAGCACATTGAACCGCAGAGGTTTCATCTGCCCGCACCTTCGCGATGTCCGGTTTCGGTTTCCAAACTGTCCCAGAGTCTGTATCAGAGTTGTCGACACTTGTCTTCAAATTTGTCCGGATTGGTATCCGAGCTCGGTCGCATTCAGGAAAAAATTGTCCAGACTCCGAATCATACCTGAGCCACGAGTGCGACAAATTGTGTCGTGTCTGTTTATCAGTAGAGCCCATACCATAGCCTTTGAAACACGGTCCTGGCCAGGGATATCGATCAATGAACACTGCGCATTCGTGCCTCGGGTTGTAAGAGTCAAAATCAGATATTTTGACACTGCCTGAGGGATGAATGGACCCGCGTTTATCCGAATTCACCAAGATTTGGAAATTTTGACTTTTTCAGAATGGGGGCCCGATATTTTTCTCCGGGCTCGCTCAGCAAAACCCTTGGCAAAACCCCATCGCTTTCCTCTAAATCCATGACACTCGTAATTGTACTCAATGTATTGAAAGCAGAATAAAATCTAACATATTTGAATGAGACCAGAATAATAGTCACTTGCTATAAAAGTCACCCGGAAGACTAGTATCCAAAGCGTGCAGGCACCGTGAATTGTCAAAGTCCTCGTTTGCTCTGTTGAATTGCGCCATTCGTGGCCACGGCGCTCTGAGACCCTTCTTTCAAGCTGTTGATTATGTATAGTAGTTGTTTCATGCGCTCTCGTTCAAGTCGTATCAATTCGGACCCGGCGATTTTCGGAGCACGCCATCGTTTTCAATGCCGCGATTGAGGGTACATATCGGGGCTCCGTCGGATACACGTCGTTCGGTCTCCGGACGCCAGCTCACGACTGCGAAGTAGGGAGGAAAGAGGGAAGATCAATATTTAATATGTTGAACTGGGTATATTTTCTTCGTCTTATTGGATTTTGCAAGTGTCCAGTGCAATGCATTATTAGATCTGGCCGCGTGCGACAATGGTGGGCAATGAAACGCCGCGATAGCTAGCTACCCCATTTATCGCGCGGCCGGGTGATTTCTTAAAGATCTCGGGAAGGTCTGTACAAATTTAACTTTGATGCGATGATGTCGTTGGTGGCCACCACAGACCGCAGAGGGGTACCCGTTATGATGGGCATGGGGATTTAACATAAATATTTTATTTCGTGTCTGGCAGAAAGTAAGGATCCAGAATGACTGCAGGTTGTGTTAAATTACATATCAACGCATGCGCGCCTGCCAGTGTTGGAGCGTGAATTGCCTGCTAGTGCCAGTGTTTCGTATACCCCAGAAAACGTTGTCTGATGAACACGGTACACGCAAGTTGCACAACTGATGAGTATCTTTCGGCCAGCATCGTGGTTGAAGACTTGTAGACGTCTAGGAGCTGGCAGAACCTAATGAACAACGTATTTCAACGGGAATGAACTAGCTCTATTCCGTCGTCCACATTACACCGCGGCGACCGTAGTAAGTGCCTTGGTTGGTCTCGACCAACCACTCGGTTCAGTACCCAAGTCGACGGCCTGCAGACTGCAGTTCTCCACAAAAGGTCTAATTTGAAAATAAGCGGTGTGCGGGGAGGCGCCAAGCGTCGTGCGGGGAGGCGCCAAGCGTGCTTCTGTCCTGCCGAGCCGCAAGCCGCGCCACCGGTTGGTGAGAAAGGTTGTGGCGTGCGTGGGCATTGGGGTTCAAGTTACACCCGTGCAAGTAAAGTGTCCATGGAGCGAGGCGTGTAGTGAGAGGAGTACGGAGTCTTGGAAGTTGGAGCCAGACAGCTCGACTGACTTCGACTTCGCGCGGCGGCCTTGGTTCGTCATGGACACACGGTCATGTCGTTAGCGTTTCCAGCATCTGGAATATTCCGCGTAGATTGGCGCTGGCAGTGCAGACAGCCTCGAGTTCGTAGTTGGGTGCCAATTTAACAACATGCCGTCGACAATGACTCGACATGTCCGAGCTGCCGTCAGCGCTGTATGCCGGCAACAAGCCTCAGCAAGTTCGCTATACTTATTTCCAGGTCGACAGACATCAGACGTCCGTAACGCACACGGTACACGCAGGCTGTCCGCGCCACTGTCTGATGGTTGAGGGTTCCGACCTCAGTGGCACATGAGGTACCAGGGGAAGACTAGAAAGACCATCAAAGCGGTGGTGAAGCGTAGCGAGCGGTCGCAGCAGGTACTAAACGGAGAATGGACCGGCGGGCAGTCAGAACACGATGGGGTTTTCTTCGGCTCGCGTAGATAACATGCTTAGAACACAAAAGCGTTGTTGCAAGTATCTGCGCGCTTGTCCCGATTGTGAATGCGTTGCGTGCGTGCGCAACAAGCGCCTACAAGCGCCTGCTGCACATACAGCTTGCAGATATGGTACACAGAGCGCCACAAGCTCAGATTCGATGCTAAGAGCGTGTGGCGACAGTGATTGGGTTTTCCTGTGAAACTTTCCCCGGGATCGCGTCCGCCTATTGGAGCCTATTGGGCGCCCATAAGGCCCGTCATCTGATGCGAGAAGGTGTTAGCGGGCCTCGAGGCCGGTGGGCCGTCCGGAGCCATCACGGGTGAGGCCTCGAGGCCTCGCTAAGCAGAGCCTTGGTTCGGCAAGCTGGGTTAAGGGCATGCCTTTCATTTCGCTAGAGATCTACCGCAGGCTTCACCATGAGGCTGATCCCGATGTTTCGTTACCAGTCTGACCAGCGCGCGCAGCGGTGCGCAGAGCCTCCGCTGCGGTGGCCACCGACCAGCGGCGGTACGCGGCCGCGTAAAGTAGCATGTAGCAGTCAAGGAGGCGTTGAGGAGGACGTCGAAGGCAGAATGGGGGTGCAACGTGCTTGAGAGGAAGGATTGCCTTGTTGGGCCTAAGTGTGCTATAAGTCATCGTCTGATCTGTTTTCCGTCTTCCAAGTGTCTTTGTGTTCCGCCATCCTGCCAGCCAAGTGAATGCCCTCTATCCTCAACCTCAAGTTCAAAGTCTGTCTCTTTGCGCCTCCGCCGCCGCCAGCACTGACCTTTTCTTCCTCTTCCCGCCTTTTCACCCTCTCGAAAAAAAATTCTTTCACCTCGGCGCGCGCTAGGGTAACAAGTCCTTCGTTGCGTTCAGCAACCTCAACGACACCGAGTCGTTGACGAAGACCTGGAAGGTAGCTATCTTTCTCTCTTTTCATCGTCAAACCCCCCATCCGCGGCTTTTTTTTCCTGCGTTTTTTCGTGTACGCATGGCTCACCACTTCCTCAAAGGTCTGCACGAAGGTCGCGAGTTACCTCGAACAGGGCCAGCGGCTCGAGAACTTGGCGTGGCGGTACGGTGCCCGCCCGACATTCCGGTCTGACAGACTCTGACTCGATGCGGCGCGCAGGCTATGGCACCTCCAGAATCTGATGGTCGACACCGACAATGCGAAGACCAAACGCGAGTTTAAGAAGCTCTCCAAGTGCATGGGCGACAAACTTGACAAGGAGAAGGGCCGGTGAGTGTCTTCACTTGTCGGTTTTTTTTCGGCTTCCGGTGAGCCGGTGGGAGGCTGGACCTCAATACGTGGCTGGTCTTGGCGGCGGGGGGCGAGGCGGAGGACGTGCGTCTGGAGGCACTATGCGCGCCACCTCACATCCTGCCGCCCTGCCCTTCCTATTGTTTCCCATTCTGTTCGGATGCGGGTCGTACCGCGCGTCATACCGCGATACCGTGCATTTGCCCGCGTTTCCTCTGCGTTGCTTCCATCTCATTTCCCTATCCACCTCTCGTGAATGCGTGCGCGGCATATACACTCCGCCACCGCCTCGCTTCTTTGTGCATTGTCTACTCTTGTTCCCCTTTTGTTATATCTGCACTTTCTCTCCGTTATCCGCTCCCTCTTTCGTGCTTCTTTGTTCAGCTCTTCCGCCGCTGCTCGAGGGTGAATATATGCGCGGTCCAAGCGCATATACTGCCTCTCTTGTCTTCTCCCACACTCTCACCACCGCGTCCTGGCGCATGCTGAGTTTTTCCCCCAGGAGTATCGAGGAGCTCCCCGCGCCAGCCTTCCAGCGCAACAGCTCCACGGAACTCATCCGCCAGCGCGCAGCCGAGAAGGAGCGCTCGCGCGAAGCTAATGCGCATATGCCCGAGCACATCATCCAGCGTATGCAGTTCACCTTCCCTATCGAGCCCGCCGCCCCCACTCCGTCCACTGCAACCACTGCAACCACCTCAATAATGAAGACCACGACCACTCCAACGACCACACCCACGACTACGACCAAACCCACCGCTGATGCCGCTAGCCCGACTAACAAGCGCAAGCACGGCACGGTGCGCCTGCCGACGCTCTTCAGCAACTCGTTTGGCCCGACGGCGCTCCTCGCACCTGCGCTGTCGCTTGCACCGCGCATGAACTACGGCGACGCACACTCGCCGCACGCCGTCCTTGTCGGTGGGGACGGCGGCGGAGGCGACATGCGCATCTTGCGCCCGACGATTGAGCTCCCGCTGGACGAGCTGCTCAACGCGGACGGCGACGAAGGCGAGGACGACTCCGCTGGTGAACACAGTTCCGGAGGCGACGGCGCGGCGCATTTCGAGGATGTGCAAACGGGGGACTGGCCAGGATGGGACGAGATCATGCGCGGCGGCTCATTCGACCACCATTTCGGTATCAACGTCGGCCCCAACGATATCGTGCACAACAGCTTCCCTGCGTTCGGACCCGCCCCGTCCCCGAACGACCCGCCGCTGCCGCTGACGCTTGACCCCCACGCGGCGTTTGGCCCCAGCATGCAGAAACTCGAGAACAACAACGCCGCGACGCCGACCGCGCTCCCGCGCTCGCCCCGCTTGTCAC